CAGATCAGCCAGACACACATGGATCAAGGGCTAACAGGGCTTGCCAAGCTGCTCTGGCTTTTGTTTGGCCAGGTGTTTGCCCATGACCATGTTAGCATGCAAAGGCTGTTGTTTCGTTCTGCCTTGCAGTTCCCCAGGGGGTTCCCCACTCCTGGGTTAAGCATGTTGACAGGACAGGTAAGCGTTCAGTCCTTTGACTTGGGGGTTTGGTTATCTGGAAGAAAGCAAACTACTGGCAAACATTTTGTAGATTATATCACACAACTAAAGAGTTTGGACAGGGAAACTTCAAACCATTTTTCTCTTTATAGGTGTTTAGAGCATATAAGATTAATCATTTATTTCACAAACCTTGTATCTTAATGACCTGGTGATGTGACCACAGTACCCAAAAGAGGCAACTTGAGGAAGGAAAAAATAACTTTCATTTAGTTTCAGAGGGACTCTGACCTCCATGGTGGAGGAGGTGTACAAGAGTTGGGGCAGTGTAGGGTGTGGCAGAGGCAGAAGTGCCTCACCAAGAAACAATGATGCCCAGATCAGTCTGGGCATCCCCCTTCAAAGGCCCCATTTGCTAAAGGTTCTGAAATACTACTGATAGCTGGGGACAAGTGTTAAAATAAGAGCTCATGTGTAATATTTTAGATTAAAACTAATTACTTGTTTTAGTCAATAGGTAAACTCCTTAGGGGTAAATTATGAAGATAATTTTTATAAATTGAACATGGTCTCAATTTCAGTGGATGAGTTAACTCTTCTCTACACATTTTAGCACCTTTGAAGTTTCAGCAGAGTGCTCTGTGGTTTATGTAGATGTGCAGTTCTGTGGGATTTATTCTTTTCAACGGAGAGGTGAAGCTGCAGGGACCATTGCTTTTGGCTCACTGTACTGCAGTCATACCCTGAGGGGTTCTGCTGGCTGCTCATTCTTTCTAGCTTGCTGTATACTTGGGAACTAGGGTAGTAATCACTGGCTGGTTCAGATACTTACTTACTAGGCCTCTCTCTGGAATGAACCGACTCCTACAAATTCTTTAAGTTCCAAGCGATTAATATTAATCAAAACTAAATCTGGGAGAGGATATCTTGCCATTTTCCCCAGATTCAAATATATGGTAATGGCTACGTTTGCGTCTTTACAGCTGAACAAAAGAAAGGACTTTTGCTCTGCACTTGGTACATTATCACACGGTCCTTTCTGAGTGGTATTTGTCCTCCTTATGGTGTCTAAGACACTGAGTCTTTGAAGATATTGGGGGGGTGGGTAGGGACTTGGTGAGAGCTGGTGTCTTGAGTAGAAACTCACACCTTTTAAAGTGTTACATAGAGCAAGATCCACCTTCATTGGCTGCCTGTCTGCTTTGGTTGTGATCAGTCAGCCACCACTTACAATCCATGCTGGTCCAGCTGCTCAAGCATTTCTGTGGATGGCTGTGTCTGTTGCAAATCACCATGTCTATTTTGCTTGCAGTGCAATTGGCAGGTCTCTGCTACCTTGGGTCTCATGATCACCATTGTAATCTGGAAGCTTGTGACAGAAGAAGTTCTCCCTAGCTTTCCCCTGTTACGCGGCACGTTTATAATAGTACTTTTCAAGTTGGCTGCTTCACCCATGTGCACGGTGTTTCCCAAAGCCAAAATGAAGGGAGCAATCCCTAGGCCCTGGATGACAAAGTTGGGGTGAGTGAGCAGGTTGCAAATGATAAATTAATAATTTTTCCATTGTGAGTATTAGATTCCTTCCTCTACATTACATGAGGAATTTCTGGTATCTCAACTTTGCTTAGTTTTTGACCACATTTGAGTCCAAATTTAGTTATGTAGTTGAGCACATTATTTAGAACCATCCCCAGCTGTTTGAATTAATATTGTGAATCAAAACTCTGTTACGCGTTCAGCCTGATTTCAGTTATGATCCCATTTGTCTCTGGTTTTACACCTCTAGACTCTTTTTGATACCAAGGTTTTCTCTATATAAATTAAAATCGTTCAGCCCCTTCTAAATGTGAATTTATATGTCTAGAGGCAGTGACTAATAGAATAATGGAGGTGTCAGTCATGGTATCTTTTTCTTTTGATTTTTCGAGACAGGATTTCTCTTTGTAGCTTTGTATCCAGGCAGACCCCGAACTTACAGAGATCTGCCTGCCTCTCCCGAGTGCTGGGACTAAGGTGTGCACCACCACTGCCCAGCCTCAGTCATGATATCTTAAGGTGAAGTAGGATCAGTCTTGAACAGAGATTGCTTCTGATGCTTCTGCTAACATAGGACTCAAATGAAGTTGGGGAATTTCTGTTCCTTGATTAATCTAAGTTCTTGAGTCTGGTCTTTCATGACCTTTGGTCTCTTCTGTTTCTGTCTGTGATGGAACACTCAGCTCACTCTCCTGCCTTCCCTACCTCTATGTATGAGTTTGCCCAAACATAGTGGCTTGAGCCCACTTAAGTCTTCCCTTAAGTCGTTTGCTTCTCCTCTTAGTTTGCAAGACAGGAGTTTAGGGAGGGTTTGACTGGCTTTGGGATTTCTCACAGTTACAGTTGGGTGGTGGTGAAGTGTGGGTGCTTCATGGAGCTTCAGGTACTCATGTTGTCAGAAGTGCTGCACATTTAGGAGAGCCTGAGACCAGCTGGGATTTTTTCCCCCTCATCTCAGAGCCTCTCTATGGTTTCTCGTCATGAATTAGCTGAGGGACAATGGGACTGCTTAATGGCAGCACAGGCCTCTGACCCAGCATCCAGGAAGAGCTTCCAGCTTTGAAAGTGTTATTTTTGCCATAGTCCCAAGCCCACTCAGAGCACTTGCTAAAGAATAAAAAATTATGTGTAGCCAGAAGTCCACTGAGAAAGTAAAAATAATAGACTTCATGAACCGTATGTGATAAGCTCCAACTTTTACATAGGACTGATAAGTCCCAGTCTGCCCTATCTGTGCATCAGAAGTCCTGAAGGAGGCACCAGCCTGACAGTGACAAGGACAATAAACCCCATGAGGTCATCAGAAATTCCCTGATCCTCTGCCTTGAGAATGAGAACATCCAGGGCTATTCCTTCCTCTGACTAGTGAGTTTGGAAGCAGCTGACATAGTTTTTGCTGGTGTTCCTTCATGGTGCCCTGCCACTCAGTACACAAAATCCTGCACTTTAGGTACTTTAGTCTGAGGCACCAATATGGCAATTCCAGAATTCTTTCTTCACTGGGTATTAAGGACTGCCAGGGTTTGTACCCTTCACAATCATGGCATCTTCCAACTCAACAGATGAGATGTGGTCACAGATTTCCAGGGAGACAGTGCCTGCAATCACATCTGTACCTAGTGACTGTGATATTTATTGCAGACCACAGTCTCTGCTATAACAGGGTAGAACAGAAAGGAATTTTAAGTAGTCAGCCTTGGAATTTCTGGAATGGTGTGGCACAAAGTTTAAATGCCATCCATCAAGAGAAATGCTTTGAACCACACTGTAAGCTTATTTCACTAAAGATGGTGTGGCCTCTACCATATGAAGTTTTGGTTAAATGTTTGTCTTATGGGTCACAGAGGCTTGTCAGATACATTAATAACTTTTATATTATTTTTGAATAGAGGACTTGTGTTCTAAAACATTGAATTATAAAACTTCATGTTTATTTTGGCTTTCAGGGACTTATAATTGTTTTCCCATGGAAACTGTTTAACAAATTTTGATTCCATGTGTGGAGTAGGCTTGACAGTCTTAAATTACCTGTACTATATCACAAATGTGAAAGTGCTAACACCCAAAGACACTTGGTGAAGTACATCCTTTATTTAAAAGAGTTTATTAAATCAGAAACTGTAGTAATTACAGACATGTCTAACTAAACCCAATATACAGACTTTCAGCTCTATCAGACAGGATGGCAGACATGATCGAAGAGAGAAGAGAGATGAGGATGTGTGGTAGTAGTAAGCACAGAGTTAGCTTACGTGGCCACACTGTGGACATCAGTGTTTAAGTTCTGAAGCTGATGGGCTGACTGTCTGAAACCACATGTGCCTGCCTGCTGTTGGTGTCACCAATCAGGCTGGGTATCTTTTGCGACCCCCTCCCCCTCCCGGGCAGAATCATGGGTAAACAAGGAGAACTTGGTTAAGCCTGATCTTGGGCAGTTGTATTGTTGAGCATTTGCCAGCAGTGATCAGGTAGACAAGTGGAGCAGCCGCAGGTTGTACCTGCTAGAGCTATGACTCCAGGTGAAACCTTGAGGACTAGGCCCCTGGCTCTGCAGCTCTTGTGTAGGTCTGAGGAGTAGGGATTCCTTAGCCTTTGGAACTTACAGTCAGGACTCTGAGACCTTTGGTTCTAAAGGACCGGTAGGCAGCTTTCTGGAGCCCAGCCAGGGACTAGTGCCTGCTCATTCTCTCCTGTTTCTTTCTAATCTGGCTCCTACCTCTATCTTCTGGCCTTTCTACATGCATTGTCTCCTTTGGGACTGCCCTGTGCCCCCTCTTCAACAACTTAAATACAGAACACTTAAAAACCAATAGTGCTGTGGAGCGAGAGGATAAAGACACTTTGTCTGACAGCAGCAGTGAGCCAAGGGAAGCAGGCAACGCGTGGAGCAGTGGAATGGGGGAACAGTGCCACGGTGGAGCGGTGCCGTGCTGTGCGGTGCTGCGGTGGAGCGGTGCCGTGCGGTGCGGTGCTGCGCTGCGGGGAGCGGTGCCGCCGTGCCGTGCGGTGCGGTGCTGCGGTGGAGCGGTGCCGTGCTGTGCCGTGCTGTGCCGCGGTGCTGTGGACCTCCTGTCAGGCAGGAGGCTCTCTAGTGCTGGGGGATCCCAGGGCCTTGGAGCAGGCCCTTCCTCTCCTTGTTCCTTTTCACTTATTTTCCCTTGGGCCTTTCTCAGACAGTCTGTGCTCTCCGGCCGTGAAGTGAGCAAGTAATAGAAAACACACAGGCTATGAGATAAAAGTTGTGCATGTGCTAAAAATGACAGTTAGTTACAATTAAGTGATTTTTCTATTTTTGTTGTTCCCAGGCAGAAGAAATCCTCAGGCGAGAACTGGAGAAAAAGGAAACACCAAGTTTATACTGCTTGCTTGGAGATGTCCTGCAGGACCACTCCTGCTATGACAAGGCCTGGGAGCTGTCCCGACACAGGAGTGCACGAGCCCAGCGCTCCAAAGCCCTCCTCCATCTTCGGAACAAGGAGTTTCGGGAATGTGTGGAGTGCTTTGAGCGGTCCGTGAAGATTAACCCCATGCAGGTTAGACCTCAGAAAGCCTCCAGTTATTGGCTTGGGGTTTTCTTTCAGTAAATACAGTAACATTAGATTGCATTATTGATCCTTTAGGAGAGATGTCTAGATTTATATACACACAGATAAATCAGAACATTTAAAATATATCTTCTGTATGTATGTATGTAAGTACATTTGTCTGTGGGCACATGTGGGCAGAGGACAACTTCAGGTGTTAGTCCTCAGAAGCTGTCAACCTTGTGTTTTGAGATGGGGTCTCTCATTGATCCAGAGATCATTAAATAGGCTGTGTTGACTGCCATTGAGCCTGGGGATCCTGCTGTCTGCGTTTTCCCAGTGTTGGGATTAGGATTGTGTGCTGTTACCTGTTTTTTTTTTTTTTTTTTTTTTTTTTTCATGGGTTCTGGGAATTAAACTCAGTCCCTCGAGCTTGAACACTTTACTGATGGAGCCACCTCTCCGTTCCACATGAACAACTTTGTAAGATTTGAAAAATTAATGCAAAAGGTATCTAGCTCCTGATAAATCTGCATGAGAGGTCGTATTTCTGAGGGAGATTGCCTTTATTGACACATAGTGATACCTAGCTGGTGATGTGATTTTATGAGGGACTATCTTTTCCCTCCCTGCCAAACTTGACATTTGCTCTCACTTCAGTGGTCATGGCACCTGCACATGCACACTGACTTGGATAATTCCTCTGCTGGAGACTTGGCTTGCTTCCCACCCTTTACCTGTTAAAAAAGGTGTGTGTACACAGCAGCAGGAAGTGTCTTTTACACTGAAAACACCAATTTGCTTAGAGTAGGGGAGGCTGACCTGTTGGTTTCTCAGGGTACTAGCTGGAGAACTGTCGTGTGCCACACATTAAATCCACGAGCGGTAGTGAAAGCCTATGAGAACAAGCCTGCAGTTTGTGTGGTATTTACTATTACAGATAAGCAGCAAGGCTCTCCAGTGATCCCAACTGTGCGGTGCCTTCAGAGCAGGCCCTGTTTGTTACCAGTAATAAAGAAAATGATATATCTAAGTACAAACTTTGTTGATTTTTTTAAAAACTCATAAACGTAATATGGATTTATAGAGGAACATAGAACGATTGGGTTATTTGATACTGTATTTGGTTTGATGGAAGCAGTTGTTATCCTCTCAAGTGCTCATCAGATAGCTTGGTTCTGATTTGACTCAGTATGCTTTGTTGAGAATAGTTGTCACGTGGGCTGGACAATTGCTTAGCAGTAAGGGACACTTTGCTCTTGCTGAGGACTGGAGTTTGGTTCCTAGCAATCATCGGGAACTCCAGTTCCAGGGGACCAGACTCTTTCCTCTGACCTCCTCAGGCACCAGGCATACACGCACAGTGCACATACACAGGCAGGCAAAATACTCATACACATAAGATAAATAAATCTAAAAGAAGTTTGTAAAGCCATTGCCCACAAATCTAGGTACTACCAAAGATGACATGAATACTTCATGATGTTAGTCTCTGTGAAGATGGGATCTGAAAAAGGCTGGGAAAGCACAGAGTCACAATTTTTCTTTCAGTTGAACGTTAGACTGCAGCTTTATGCATTCCATTTGTGAGCTGGCAGGTAACGTAGGTTCCTGTCAACTGACAAATACTATTTTCATGGAAATCCTGAAATCTGTTTTTAAATTTGTGTCAATTTGAGAAGCAAGGTTACATATTTTGGTCCACAGGAGAGTATTTAGCCAGTGTGTCAAGATGCATAAAATGGTTTGTCTTAATCTGAGCTTGCCATGTTTACAGCTTGGTGCATTGGTTTTTACCTCAAAGAAACATGTTTAACTCATTTAAGTGAGTGGTAAATCCACTAAAAATGCTAAGTCTATAAGCTAGATTTTGTTGTCAAGTTCTGGCATAACTTTTGTTTTGATAAACACAAGCAACATGATGACGTGTTAAAAATCATGAAATCTTTTTTTTTTTGAGTTTTGAGAAAGAGTTTCTTTGTGGTTTTGGAGTTTGTCCTGAAATTAGCTCTTATAGACCACCAGCAGGCTGGTCTTGAACTCACAGAGATATGCCTGCCTCCCACATAGGAGGTCCTCAGTAAATGTTTGCTAAGTGGGTGAATAAATAGCATCTTTTCACTGTTAACTCAGGTAATTGTTGGAGATACACATGGCAAGAATTAGTTGTAGATGGACAAATTGTCTTGTTTGTACCCTCAGGCACAGTCTGGGGAGATGGACACACATTATACTAGCTAATGATAATGCCATCAAAGAAATGCCAGGGACACCAACTTATAAAAGGGCCACAAAGAACATTTCCACCTCACATTCAAGAGGACATGATGGGTGTGGCTTTGAGTGACAAGTCTACTTGACTAGGTAAGGGAGGGTCTTGCTGCAGGTGCAGCAGGCAGGGAGTATCCCAGGCAGAGTCTTGGGAACAAGAGCTGAGTGTGTGCTGAGGGGATGGAAGAGCTAGTGAACAGGCCAGTTTTCCAGAGTGAGAGGAGATAAGACAGTGGGGATGCTAGATTGGACCCATACTATCACATATCTTAAATGTGAGGCTAGACTGTTGTGTTTTCATTTGGTGGTTAGGGAACTACTGAAGTTGATTTTTGCTATGCTTTGTCTTCGGTACAAGAATGGGGTCTGCACAGAGGTGACTCAGGACCATTGTCTTGCGCATACTGGCCATGGGAAGGCAAATTAGATAGCCTGGGTTGGACACTGTACTAACAAGCTACATTCTGCAGGGCAGTTGTAGCATGGGAGGGACACTAGAACAAAAGGATGGCTGGGGCAAGTTGCAAGGGAAGACTTGGCAGGCTTGATGGCCTCATTGTTATACAATTTAGAACTAATTACTGAGGTTGAGAAATGACAGCTGCTTAAAACAGATCCCAATACAGACAGATATAGTGTAAGGCTACTTTGCAGCGGGTCATGTGTCTTCAATTCAGGCAGACTAAAAACAAATGCCAAAATACACAGGCATTTGGTGCTCTGGGTTGTGTAGAACTGCTACAATCAAACACAGCAGATTTGGTAACTTGTGAGTCAAGGGTAGATGTTTCTGAAGAAAGAGCTTTTATTACATTGTGCTGTCTCCTTTAAGTGTTATAAGAAAGAGAAGCTAAAATTTAAAAAAAATTCAGCCCATTTTCAGATCTGTTTAAAAGATTAGATTTAATACGAAATCTAGGTAAATGGAGAGAGGCATCTGCAGAGGGCTAGTATAAAAATAGCAACACTTGGCTTCATGTCAGAGATGGGCTGTACCACTAATGCACTGTTATGGTGCATTTCTTGGAGAGCCAGAAGATACATACTGTTTATGTTAGTGCTTTTGAGTCTGCTAGCTGCCATCTACTCATACCTGCCTGTTTCTTTTTCCGTGAGTCTGGAGAAATTAGCAAAATTAATTCAGAACTTCGGGGACTTGAGGTCCTAAGAGCTGAAGAATGTAGGAGAGAGAAAGCTAACCAAATAGCCAAGGCAGAGTTTGCTGGCATGCAGACCAGTTTGTTTCTCTTGTTCACCACTCTTCCTGATGCCCTGGCTTTTATGCAGAATATAAAAAGGAATTGCTTAGATATCAAACCAATATGTGTCGCACAGGTAAAAGGATAATGTTCAAAAATTCCTGTCAAGTGTTCCAATCCTTTTCTTTATTCTGTTCCTCTCCATTGAAAGGTGTTTCTCCTTAACTCTCCTCCTCGGTTCATTGGTTACTCGCCTTTGTTTGTAAGGTCATGTAATATTACTGGACTTGAGACTCAGACAATGAAGATACTGGAGAAGGGAGTAGTTGCCTTGCTGGCTGGGTGTGGGAAGCCTGGTGCTGATGTGGGCTGGTGGCTATTGAATGGATGGTGGAAAAGACAAGATGGTTAGAAGGGAGCTGGCTTCTCAGATGGAGAAAAGGCTTGAGGAAAAGCATGGATTCAAGAGTTCATTGTTCCAAGATATGCTTTCTATTTTTGTGGCCCTTCCAGCAAGGAAGGATTTGTAATTCTTTAAGTGTTACAATTGTTTTAATTCTTTAATTAAAATCTTGAAGATTTTAATTCCGTTTTGGGCTCAGGGAGCTAAGGGGAGTGGGGGTAAAGAAGCAGACAAGCCACCAACTGCTTGTAACTCCAGCTCCAGCAGGTGAGTGCCCTCTTCTGGCCTCCAGCAGCACCTGCACTCACGTGCACACATCTATACTCTGGCGCACACACACAGACCCTAAAAGTAATTCTTTTTCTTGTGTGTGTAATTGCTTATGTATATATATAGTTTTTTAGTGTAGAAATGAAGTCACACATTTAATGTACTAGCAACTTTGTTGAAAAGTCATTGATTAATTTCTTGTAATAGTTTAGTTTTTGATCTATTAACGCATTCTGGATAAAAAGTACTAGAAATTCAACCTGTCATGGGAAATTTCTAAATTTACATTTATAAATTCATGTAAGCTATAAACAAACATTGAAGATGAAAGTTACTTGTTTTAGAGGACACAGGTTATACAAAATAAGGTGAATTTTGGTTTATGTATTTCCTAGTAAGTAGCTTCTGTGTCAGTAGTAGTAGTGGTGGTGGTAGGATTTTGAGATCCTTTTCCACTTTGTAGCCCGAGATGGCCCAGAATTCATAGACCTCTTGCCTCAGCTTCTTGCATACCTGACAGTACTTTTAGTTTTGAATATGGGCTTTTAAATATGCTGATCTTAAATCTCCTGACCTGCTAAAGTAATAGTTGGTCGATAGATAATAGATAGGCTTTTAAAAAGTGTATTTTACATTGTTTCAATGTTCTTGTTCTTTTGAAAGAGTTATTGTTTGGATAGAACATTGCATGGTTGCCTAACTAAACATTACTGAGTGCCTGCTGTGTGCCAGATGCAAATGTGGGATGCAATAGGCAGTGCCAACCTATGAGCAGAGTTTGTGGACCTGGACAATGACAAAGGGACAATCAGTTTGTGAACTGCTTACTAACTTTATGGGTAGGGGACTCTATTGTGATTTTGTGT